GTTTGCTCCACATTTTTGTAAGCGACTGATCTGGAGGTCTCTCTCTCTTTTTCATTCGCGCCCGTGCAAACCTCAGGGGATAACTGTCCCGTGGGCCCATAGCTCCAACGACTATTATCCGAAGCGAAATCATGAAACATTGATATCATTTTCTATTTTTATCAGCGAATACGGGTCAATCTGCAGGCGGACCTTGATTGATAGTTGCGTACCAGATCGGTCGATGATCCATTGGTCTCCTCACACTTACTCAACTTCGTTTTCACTTTTCCTCGCGCCGGTTCTTGAGTTTTTCCTCTGTACTTCAGGGCTTCTCTCCTCAACCGGATGTTAATGATCGTAGCAATGCCGTTCTTGCTGCCAATGCTCATTGGCATAATCCTAGGTTCGAAGTTAATCCAAAGTATTCTTCCGATTTTTCATGGCATCAAATCCCTATTTTAGTCGATCGGGTATACAGTGATGTCATGCAAATGGTCGACTCTCAATGGATGGACCGTTATGTTCCACGACAATACAATAAACTGCATGAAGGTTTGAGGTTTTTCGATGTTATAACCAGAGAATAGGAGGAGGTGTAGTGGCACGTGGTGCAAAAACACTTACGCGTGATCAAGGATCCCGTATCGATCTCCTCCTAAACCAAGCTTTAAATCCTATAAGGTCGCTTATTTGGTACCAGATTCGTCTGCGAGGATCAAAGCGCTGACTGGTGACATCGGCTGGGCACTCAAAGTCGTTGTATAGATCACACACGCATTCAAAACGCCACCACGATTCCAAATGGAGTTTGAATGCAGGGAGCATCCCGAAACGAGATTGAATACCGTCAAATACTTGATCCTTGATCCAAAATGAATCCATATATTTGAGTAGGTGGAATCAGGCACAACCGATAGTGGAGCTGTTCACTTTTCGGATCCTTCAAGGTTGAACAAAAGCTTTTTTCGAGGGCGACCAACTGGATCTCGACTCTTCCAATGGGCTGAGGGCTTTCGTCATCTAAGGCTGAGCATACCAGTTTCTAGGGTAGGTTGGGCATTGACTCAGAAAGATCATCATGAATCTGGATGGAAATCGAATACATGGCGTCGAGATTGTTTCATTGGAACTTCCCAACGGTATTTTAGGCGGTTCGTTGATTCAAGTGAACCGAGCGGCCTTTATATCAATAGTGACTAAAAATTGTCTTGAGAACCGGTGACCTAAAAATAAAATTTTCCTTATGTCGTTCCTTCATCTTGAGTTTACTCGCAAGGACAGACCTTGAGGGAAGAGAACCTGAACTTTCTAGGAAAACTTCTCCTTATCCAGCCACCTTCGTAGCTTGGTTAGCTTCTTCTTGAACCCCAGTATTTATAGACCTGCTTCAATGTCCTCGCAGAAGAAATGTTGTTAAACGAGTGCCAGAGATGTTGCGATTCACCAAAAAACAACGTGCAAACTAGCTCGTAATAACCAGCTTCAATCACATTTTTCAGACAGCAGTGGGGAAGCGGATGTTTCCAAGGACAACAACTATGGTTACAGTGAACAGGGAATGAAGGACCTCGATGAGGTGAGCTACAGACAGCCCGGCTACTTGGGGAATTATGCTCGACCCAGGCATGTCCCAGTGTACATGTCCCAGTGTATAGGTGTGCATTACAGTAGTGAAGATGGTGTACTTAGTCGATCGACAATATCCGGGCTAATAACGGCTTTGTTTGTGTAAGTGCCGCGCATTTGGGGGAGTAGGAGGCGGCTTTTTGGTGGAGCTGCAGCCGTTTAGGACGGAGCATCTTCCT